TGAGGTGGGCTGATCACCTGAGGTGGGGAGTTTGAGATCAGCCTGACCAACATGGAGAAATCCCATCTCTACTAAAAATACAAAATTACCTGGGCGTGGTGGCACACGCCCGTAATCCCAGCTACTCGGGAGGCTGAGGCAGAAGAATCGCTTGAACCCGGGAGGCAGAGGTTGCAGCGAGCCGAGACTGCACCATTGCACTCCAGCCTGGGCAACAAGAGCGAAACTCCATCTCAAAAAAAAAAAAAAAAAAAAAAAAAAAAAAAAAAAAAGCAACAACGGGCACATAGGGGGCAGGGGCATCCAGAAGCAGTCAATGTTCTGTTCTATTTCCTTGGGTGGTGATTACAAGGATCTTTCACAACTTGTTAAGCTTGGCATTTATGTTTTGTTTAAGTCTGTTAGATCTTTAAGGTTTTTTTTTGAAAAAGAAGAAAGTAGAGGACAGAAGCTATCCGGATATTGCTTAGTACTGCATTTCGAAAGGGAATACAGATAGAATACACCACCTTCGGACCTCTGTTCCTGGCACCCTGTGTGTGTGTGTGTGTGTGTTTGTTTTTCATCAGAATAAAAAATAATAGTGGTATGGTTTTGCCAGAGAAGACAGGCATCCTCCCACACTTGGCAGGCCCTGGAAACCTTCCCCGTCTATTGTAGCATCTGAGAACAGACTGTCTTTCTAGGTCCAGTGCTGTATCCTCAGCCTCTATAGTAGTGCCTGGCAAACAGCAGGTGCTCAAAAAGTATCTGTTCAGTGGATTCACCAGTAAAACTACGTTTTTCAAGACCACATATTCCCAAAATACATGAAAGAGTCCCAGAACTTCGTCTCTGAACTGTAAGAGCTGTTGAGGTGGTGCTCTATGACGGCACATTCAAGGTTGTCAGTAAAACTCCAAAACATTTTACTAATGTGTTTCCAATATAACACATGCTAACATGTCAAGTGTCAAACAGAAGCATTTTTTCTCTGTGCTAAAAATACAACTCAGTCTGTCATTTTCAAATGTATTAATTAATTTGAATGTTTACTGAATTTTGTAATTTACCATAGAAATTATTAGTTTTCGATTTAGGGTATTTCAATCATACTTGTAATGCGCCAACAACACAGAATGACCCAAGATTTTATTACCACAATTAGAACATCCTAGCACATGGCAGGCCCTAATAAATACTTGCTGAATGAATTAGCAAACATTAAAATATGGCTGTTTTATAATGTTCACAAGGATATTGCATGACAAGGTACACATCTTTAACATGTACCACGTCACTCTAAAACCTCCATGAAGAAAATATCACCTCTAAGATAAAATCAAGTACACCCGAGATGTGAACTGATTTATAAACCAACCTACAGACTACCTTCTATCTTGCTGCATTTATGGCCAACATGAGATTATGTATGTACTGACTGATGATGGGCAATGTAATTAGCTTTAGAGTTAAGAGTTAAATAATTAACATGTTAACAATAAACTGTTAAGAGTTGAATCATTAATATGTTCTTAGACATCGTTTTATCGGTTCACATTATTTATAGTTCAGGCTTGCTTGGTAACTAAGGAGGGAAACCGTTTTCCCAACCTCCCACATCCTCACCTGCTCCCTACCCGCACATTCATCTCAATGTAAAGCATGTTCAGGACTTGCTCAATTCAGCCAACCGCACCCTAATCTGGCTATCGCCTCCTTCACTGCCAAAGTCCTCCCTCCTTTACCGCCAAGTTTCTTGAAAGAGTGAAGTTTATCACCTCTGCTTCCTCACCTCCCCATCGTTTCTCAGTCTGGAGCAACCTGGCTATTCCCCTCCACCTCTCACCAAACCTCTCCTCACCGAGTCTTTGCTCACAGTGGCTGAATCCAAGCAGCGTTTCTCGACCCTTCTGCCTTATGCCCCACAGCCACCCCGTCCAACACAGAGGCCGCCTGCCACAGGTGGCTGCAGAGCACTGCAGTGCAGGAAGCACCAGGGAGTCACTGCACTTTTTATTTAATTTTAATTCAATTTTAATTTAAACACCGACACTTGATTCAGTTATAAAATTCCTTGGAACAACTTGGGTATGTGAATCTACTTTTTCAACCCTGTATTTTATAAAATCTAAATACAGATCAAGAATTTGCAAAGAAAATTTAATGTCTGAATGAATATACAACACGTAGATGTAAGTGTTAGTGTAACACACACACTGGATTTCAAAGATACGTCATGAGAAAGATAATCTCATTAGTAATTTTAATATTGATTACATGTTGAAATGATGGTATTTGGGATATACTGAATTAGGTAAAATATCTTCTTAAAATTAATTTTAACTATTTCTTTTTATGTTTCTTAAAGCAGTACCTGGAAAGTTTACCATTATCTATGCAGCATGTATTTTATTCCTACTAGACGGCGCTGCTCTATGGCATTAGATATGAATGTGCACTAATTCTCCATTGCTTCTCTCCTTCTACTTCTTGGACCCCTCCTTGTATTCTGCAGCATCAATCATTCTTCCACTTCCCCTTAAGGTCAGTGTCTCCCAAGGCTCTCTCCAGTTCCCCTGGGCCCCTGTCCCAGCACCCACCTTACCTAAGGCTTCCACTATTCCCACAGGTGGCTGACTTTCAACCCTCTGCCAGCAAATCAGCTTGCTCCCCTGAGAATAGGATATTCACCTGCTCCCTGTACATTTCCAGCTATACCTAAGTGTATTGACATTTAATCTGCCATTATACCTGCTGGGTATTTACCTTATTAATATTTTATAAATCGGGCCCCCTCCTCCATTTCTTTGAGGCCCTCTCAATTTCTCAACTTATCAGTACCATAGCTTCCAATGTCTATCTTTGCCCTCTTCTCAACCAACTTCCTTTTGCTGTTAGTCTCTAAAACTCACACTGGCGACATGATTTCTCTTTTTTTTTTTTTTTCTTTTTGAGACAGAGTCTTGCTCCGTCACCCAGGTTAGAGTGCAATGGCATGGTATCAGCTCACTGCAACCTCTGCCTCCCAGGTTCAAGCGATTCTCCTGCCTCAGCCTCCCTAGTAGCTGGGACTACGGGCGCCCACTACCACGCCTGGCTAATTTTTTGTATTTTTAGCAGAGACAAGGTTTCACCATGTTAGTCAGGATGGTTTTGATCTCCTGACGTCATGTTTTGCCCACCTTGGCCTCCCAAAGTGCTGGGATTACAGGCGTGAGCCACCACGCCCGGGCATGACCTCTCTGTTTAAATACTCTGGTGGCTGCCCCACTGCCATCAAGATAAAAAGCTTCTATAATCATATGCAAGGACTGTACTTGCCAGACTCTCTGGCTTCGTGCTTCATCACCAACTCCACAAAACCCCAAGTTCCAGGCACACCTAAGCACTCGCAGTCCCCTGAATACGTTTGCTTTCTCACCACCATACTTTGCATAGTCTATTTATGCTGACAGGAATATTCTCCCTAACCATATCCTTGCTCTCCTAGCTGTCCTTCAGAATTCAATTAAAACGTCACCTGCCCCAGGAAATGTCTCCAAACCCCCACGTGAAAGTAAGTGTCCCCCTCTACGTCACCATCATACCTAAACACAGCTCTAGTCATAACCCAACCACGCTTCCCTGGAGTGACCCGGTTACCAGTCTGGGAATTCCCTGAAGGCACGGACTAAGTGTTTTAACTCCCTGAACTATACTTAATAAGTACCTACTAATAAGTAGATAGATTATTAAACAAGGAAAACACAGAATAAAATGTAAGGCTAGAAATTTTTAAATAGGCTAATAAAGTCATGAGTTAAATGAAGAAAGTTGACCCAGTCATGCTAAAAACACTTCATTAGATGGCCTACTTCAGGACTCAATGAGCTATCTAATGCAAAATTATATGCTAAATATGCATTAAAATATCAAATACTCAATAAAAGCAACAATTAAAACAATTAAGGACTAAATATGTTACTTTGTTTCTTAGGCCTTGTTACGCATTCTTTCTTCCCTAATTCTACTTATCCGTTCCTTTCTTCAGTTCCTTATATTAATTTTCCTTCCAATTAAAGTTTGTATTCTTTCCTTCCATTGCCCAATCCCTCTGACTCCCTTCTATTCTTTCAAACAGAAAAATATAAATACAGTCTTCATCATCTCTGTTAGCAATTTTGTCTAAAACAAAGAAATCGTAAAAAGCAGTGAATGTAACAATCTCACCAGTCAGACTGACAGACAAAACCATACGCACTCATCTGTTTGGACGATTTCATAATGCTAAGCAGCTAATCTGAACCACATGCACACTAAGTGGAGTCTGACCGGCACCAGCAAGTCCTGGGGTTGCTGCAGAAGGCAGCGTGGGGAACAGAAAAGAACAGCCAATGCGCCGCCGATGAGGGCAGCTGCAGCCCAGCCTCACCACAGCTCCACCTGACGCCTGCCCTTCGGGAGAAAGCAGAAGCAGACAGGGAAATCTAGGAAGCTGTCAGCTATCTGGACTAGCACAGTAGGTAGCCAGTTGCAAAGTGTGAGCAGCAGAGGCCACGCAGCACCAAGATCTAGTCTGTGCACATGCTGGCCCAGGCGCCAACTTCGGGACACAAAATAAAGAGTGCTGCTCCCGCCGCACTGCTGAATTTTCATGTTACTACAAAACAGATTTTGAGAGAGGCAGGGAAGCAGGTGGAAAGGAATCTAAACCAGGTTGGTAGGAAAAAACAATTTTTTGAAGGATAGCAGTTGTTAGAGTGAAACGGAATACATTAATCACCTGAAAGAAGTTTTTCAAAACCACTCAACATTAGGTCTTCACCCTGAAGAATTATATCTTTTGGAATTCACAGTCGAGCAAAATTGAAATCTCCTGAAACACTTTTTACCCAGCAAGATAATGTAACAGTGAAGGGTATGTTTGAAAAAGTTTCTAAAATGTCATAGAACTGAATCCCCCCCAACAATTTTTTAAGCAGCACTTTTAAATAATCAATTTAATTCAAAGAAGTGCAGAGCAAGATTTACTCTCTTACCTGTACCCAGGAGTTAAGTTTTGATTGTCTAGAATTCTGTGGTTCTTTGTTAATTAGACAACATAAGCACCATATTAGAATTTTTTGGCTTTCATCTACAAAAAGGAAAACTTAATAAGTTTTATCAAGCAGAAAAAATAATCAATATAAAAATATTTTAAACATTATATTTAGGAAAATCTCAAACTACTAAGTTCACAGTACAAGTATCCCTGAATGTAACGTTTGCTTTCTCACCACCATACTTCGCACATTCTCTTTCTGCTGACAGGAATATTTTCCCTCACTCTATCTTCGCTCTCCTAGCTGTCCTTCAGAATTCCCTAAGCTTAACTTTGCGGAGTGTTTTCCTTCTTGTGGCCTTGGGATCACTTAACTCTTGTGTGGTCAATCTCCTTTCTGTAACAGTAGCAATTTTTAAAGCCAAGTGAGAACGATGGAAAGAACTCAGAGAACTGGGCCATGATCAGGTTTTCACATTTCCAGCGGTAATTTCGACCTTTCTAAGGCAACTTAATGGTTACAGGCAATGAGTAGCCAATATTTCTGATTTAATCTTTTAATTTTCTAATTTGCCAAAATATCTTCACTTGTTAAAAATAAATTTAATAAAAAGGATTGTTTTAAAAAATATTTTTAGTACCAAGTGTTTGGATAAAATAGAAGTCTCTTACATGCTCCTTTACTCTAAAATGTAAATTCTTTAAAACACAAAACTTTACCAAACATGCAATACAAATCTGAACTTTGAAATCTTACGTTCTGCAGAAACAGCCACTTGATGAGCCACTTTCTTTTTCCCCTTGTGGCGACTGAGTCTATTCCAGTGAAGATTGTACAACACAATTAAGAAACAAAAACGAGGCCTAGAAACTGAAGATGTCAGTACCCGAGCTAGGGCAAAGCAACTTCAGACTTGACAAGGCCATGGAGGTGAGGCCAAGACACCCGGTGCCCGGAATCAGTCCTCTCTACCGCCTCATCTTCTGCAATCTAATAAACCCAAGCTTTCTCTTTTTTCTGAGGCACAGTCTCGCTCTGTCACCCAGGCTGGAGTGCAGTGGCATGATCTCAGCTCAGTGAAACATCCACTTCCCAGCCTCAAGCCATTCTCCCACCTCAGCCTCCTGAGTAGCTGGGACCACAGGTGCGTGCCACACACCTGGCTAATTTTTGTATTTTTTGTAGAGAAGGGATCTCACCATGTTGCCCAGGCTGGTCTCCAACTCCTGAGTTCAAGTGATCCTCCTGCCATGGCCTCCCAAAGTGCTGGGATTACAGGCATGAGCCACCGTGACTGGCCAGAACCCAGCATTTCTAAGGACTTCATTAACAAAGAAATAAGAACAATGCCAACTCTAGTAAGCGACTTCTGTGTTTTATCCACAAACTAAAGATTGCTAACAGTAATTTTTAAACCCATTTTTTCCCATGAACATACATAGCTTAAGCTTTTCCAATAACTAACATCTCTGAAAAAACTTTATCAGGGGTTATTCTGAGGCCATTCATTTTTTTCCCCTAGTTTTTATGAGTTCAAATAAAGTATTATAAAGCACTGGCTTGCCTGAGATCAGTTCATTTCAAGAGTCGTATAATTTAACCACTAAAGATTCTAAGATTCTTCAGGCTGAACCAACGCCACTAATTAAAAATGTGACTGTTATGCTTCCCATAGTTTAAATATTAGAAGAAATTCTACCTAGCTTCATGTAGCAAGTGTGACAGATGCACCCAATGACATCCTTACACATGCAGCAAGCTATTAAAAAGAATGTAATCTGATGGGGATAATTTCCAAACACCACTCACCACCAAAAAAAAAAAAAAAAAAAAGGAAAAAAAGAAAGGAAATGTCAGTTTATGAAGCTTAAATCTAAAAGAATACCCAAAACTGGGAGTTTCCCCAGGTGTGGAGTGATTACACAAACTTACTTCAAACAGTATATTATTTTTTATTTTTCTCCCAAAAAATAAAAAAAGAGAAGGAGCCAGAGAAACTTCCACCCAGCCTCTAGGGGGTGACTTTCCGTGCCCAGAGTCAATGCACTGAAATGCACCACTAATGAGCTTACGGCTTGCTTTGCTTAGGCAATTTACAAACATGAGCCCCAGACTGCTGCTATTCACGAGTGCCACCAGCACTCACTCCAGGGGCTGGCATCTGTCAGACTCTACCCTGGAGGCCTTGAACTCAGGCTGGAGCATCCCACAAGGCATGTTAAGTGAGATGGGAAACTGCCTTGGATTCACTGCAGGGACAGTCGCTGACAGTCCATCTTAGTGTAAATTTGGATTCTAAAAATGAGTGGAAAGGAAAGGAAGATAACAACATACACTTACCACCTTATATTTTACTTTTTGATATCTAGAATTGAAAATCCACATAAAAGCTAAAGCAATTCTTTAAACTTTAATTCTATAAAGTATGAAGGCAGCAGCAAATGTTTAAGACAATAAATATTCACTGTTTTAAGCTGCTAAGTTTGGCGGAAATTTGTTATACAGAAATAGCGAATAGTGAAGAAGAGAGGTAACAGCTGTCATGCTTAATCATGAGGGCAGAGTTAGAAGCAATGGACCAGAATTTCAGAAGGTGAAGGCAGTATTTTTACACTGAGGACATCGCCGAATAAAAAGGTATTCTCTAACTTTCCATTATTATCAACTTCTTCTCTTCTCTTTTCAGTATCTTTTCATTTCCAAATCATCCCGCCTTCCTTATTACCCTTTTCTGATCCTGTTCTCCATGAACACTATGTATTACTTACTTTTTTCCATGATGAAAACAGTTTGCTTTTACTGTAATTAAAAAGCAATTTTGGGCTGGGCATGGTGACTCACACCTGTAATCCCAGCACTTTGGGAGGCCGAGGTGGGCAGATCACGAGGTCAGGAGATTGAGACTATCCTGGCCAACACAGTGAAATACCGTCTCTACTAAAAACACACACACAAAAAACTAGCCGGGCGTGGTGGCGGGCGCCTGTAGTCCCAGCTACTCGGGAGGCTGAGGCAGGAGAATGGTGTGAACCTGGGAGGTGGAGCTTGCAGTGAGCTGAGATCACGCCCTGCACTCTCAGCCTGGGCGACAGAGCGAGACTCCATCTCAAAAAAAAAAAAAAAAAAAAGAAAAGCAATTTTGATATTATAAAACCATAAGAAAAGATCCCTTCCAGGAAGAAAGTGCCCAACCAGTGAAACAACGGGGGCAACACATGCAACATCTGACTGCTCACGGGGTTTCGTGCTGTTCAGCCACCTCTGTGAGCTCAGAGCCAGGGCACACCTCAATAGGAAACTGAAATTTAAGAGCAGTTCAAAAGGTAACACGAGCGTTGAGACAGAAAGGGATGGAGAATTTGTTTCTGGTTGTCGGAGGGGCCAAGGTAATGCAGATAAAGTGCTAAGGAAACATCATAGATACGAGTTCAAGGATACCAGGATAAATCAGTCTGAACTCCTACTTTTACAAAGAAGAAATATGAGACCCCACAAGTTCAGTTACCCTGTCTTAGAGAATCACATCTTCAAGTCTGCCCCAGCAGGGTCTCTCCTGAGAAACCCTCCTTTCCTCTCAGCAACTGCTACTCCCATCAGAGAATCATTACATTGAGTCAGGCTGACCTGCTTAAGTATCTTTTTCCCTGACTGGAAGCTCCCAATGGGCAGAGACGGTGAGCCGCGTTTTCCTAAGGGCTGGCACACACACACAAACACTTTATAGGCTGGGTGTGGTGTAATCCCAGCACTTTGGGAGGCCGAGGTAGGCGGATCATGAGGTCAGGAGATTGAGACCATCCTGGCTAACACAGTCTGGCTAAACACTGTCTCTACTAAAAATACAAAAAATTAGCTGGATGTGGTGGTGCATGCCTATAGTCCCAACTACTCAGGAGGCTGAGGCAGGAGAATCCCTTGAACCCAGGAGGTGGAGGCTGCAGTGAGCCGAGACCACGGCAGTGCACTCCAGCCTGGGCAACAGAGCAAGACTTCGTCTCCAAAATAATAATAATAGTAATTGGTAAATACGTGCTGAATGAATACGTATGTGCAAGTGAAGCTGGCTAGTGGGAATGCCAAGACTGGCACACTTCAATCACAAGATGTCATCCAACAGGGACAGAACATTACAGCAAGGTGGACTTTAAAGTCACATGAGGAGTGGGGTTCTGGCTCTTCTTAGTGTTGTATTCTAGGGAAAGCGACTCACTGACTCTAATCCATAATTATCTACCCTGCAACACTGTCATCAAGAAATAATTAGGTCCATTATGTAGTCCACAGAGAACAGTGGCCAGCTCAAAGTGAGCAATGCCTCTCACACTACAACATAAACCTCCCTGTGTTTTTCACATTTCTGACTTGAGGACGTATTACATCCACCATGTACGTCAAAAGGACGTAGAATTTCTTTCCTTCTAAAAAGCAGTTAATAAATCCATGAAGCCCCTAACAATGGGTACTGCTTTTAAACGAAGGTCATTCAACAATTTCTTTTCCTTTTTCCTGCCATCAATATTGGCCTAGATCAATGTTCTTCAAACTTTTGGTCAAGAAGCATCAAGGGTTATGAAATCAGTATCGGGCCATGAACACCACTCGCTATGAACAGCATAGTGAATATGGACTGCACAGAATAATAAGACAGTAGTCCCCCAAAACGTTCCAAGACCCTCAGGGGATGTCTGAAACTGAGAACAGTACCAAACCTTAAATACAGTGTTTTTTTTCCTATACACACATACCTATGATAAAGTTTAACTTATAAACTAGGCACAGTAAGGGATTAACAAGGACAATACAATAAATCAACTGAAACTACATAGCGTAATAAAAGTTATGTACTACACTGTATTGTTACCGTTGATTTATCATATTGTTGTCCTTGTTAAACCCTTAGGCCAGGCGCGGTGGCTCACACCTGTAATCCCAACACTTTAGGAGGCCGAGGCAGGCGAATCGTCTGAGGTCAGAAGTTCAAGACCAGCCTGGCCAACATGGTGAAACCCCATCTCTATTAAAAATGCAAAAATCAGCTGGGTGTGGTGGCAGGCGCCTGTAATCCCAGCTACTTGGGAGGCTAAGGCAGGAGAATTGCTTGAACCCAGGAGGCGGAGGTTGCAGTGAGCCAAGATGGCGCCACTGCACTCCAGCCTGGGTGACAAGAGCTAAACTGTCTCTCAAAAAAAAAAAAAAAAAAAAAAAGTTACGTAAATGTGATCTCTCCATTTCTCTCAAAATATCTTACTGTACTATACTGTAACTGAAACTGCAGAAAGTCAAATGGGGGTGCTATTGTATGTATTCTTTCATGAGATGTGTTTCACTGTGTGTGTCTGTATGTGTGTATATCCATATGCATACACACACATACACATATACATAATGTATTTCTGGTAAAGACGTTTGAGAAACATTGACCTAACTGCAATAGATAAACCAAGGACAGCTAAGCGTGGCCCTGATGGGCAAACACATTGCTGCCTCACTAGTTTTGCCATTTGAATCAAGAACTTGAAGAAGTTTAGGGGTTCGGGAAAGAGGTGTAAGTGGCAAGGAGGATGGACATACGAGGGTGGGGCAGAATGAGGGAGGCTGAGTGTGTGGGCGTCCATGCACGCCTGCTCACAGGGCTAAACACGCATGTTGTTCCTTTCCCATCTCTTCCAATAATAATGATGACAGCCTAGAAATGGGAAACTATAGGATTCTTTACAACATCAAAGGGGAATATTCATTTTATTTTGGGTTCTAATGTCATTACATTATGCAATTAGTCTTTGACTTTAAAAAATCTTAAAAGCAAATATTACATTAGCTAATAATACAGTCAATCTAAAGCAAACCCCAGCCATGCTCCTTGGGAGGCCCTAGGATGACAAAGAACTAAAACCACGGTTCCTGCTCTTGAGAGTCATGCTGTCTTCCAGGGCATCGGACAGTGAAGTAAGTGGATCACAGGGAGACGCTGGAGGCCATGGACAAACCACGGTTCCTGCTCTTGAGAGTCATGCTGTCTTCCAGGGCATCGGACAGTGAAGTGGTGGATCACAGGGAGACGCTTGAGCTATGGATACTCCCTAGCAGCTCCTGGCCTCAGACAGTGAAGTATGGCATCACAGGGGAGATGCTGGAGGCCATGGAGACTCCCAGCAGCTCCTACCTCAGACAGTGAAGTAAGTGCATCACAGGGAGATGCTGAGGCTGCGGAGACTCCAGCCCTACCTCAGACAGTGAGTAAGTGGATCACAGGGAGACGCTGACATGGACACTCCAGCAGCTCCCACCCAGACAGTGAAGTAAGTGGATCACAGGGAGACGCTGGAGGCCATGGAGACTCCCAGCAGCTCCTACCTCAGCACCGTAAGGCTATTTCAAAGGAGAATGAGTGTGAAAGGAATCCTGCCACAAAGTGCCTTCAGGCACTGTTAGTAACAGCACCCGGCTACCACCATGAAGTACAGCTGTGGAAGATGAAACAAGAAATGAGATGGACAGCAGACAGGAGCTCGATGAAGGAATACCTCCCCAAAGTGCCCCCACATTCATCTCCACCTTGGATAAAACCAAAATGGCACCCTTAAATAAAGTCACAGCGGCCGACGTCAAAGGCAAAGTCATGGCAGGATTCAGACTCTCAAGAATGACTTTACAACACGGAAACAGCGTGTGAGTTATGAAACCGTGAAACAAAATTAACTCGGTATCATTAGTATAGCTATTTTATATTGAATTTAAAATGAAGTTATGAAAGTGATTACAGGCAAAAATAGAAATTTAAATCATCTAGGAGGTGCTGTCCTCTAATACAAAGAGCTCTACTTTCCTGAAGACCTACATGGGTGCATGCATGCGTGTGTGTGTTTCCATACAAACCTACACACACATACCTGGACAACAGTGTAGGAAGCCATCTTTGTAATGAAACAATGAATACATATGATAAGTTGTTCCATAAAAAAAAAAAAGGAGAAAGGTTCATAATGTAAGCCTCTGTGAAACAATGCAAAGACTGTATTTTGAGAGGACACGTTTTGGATTCTTACCGTATGCTAAAATAAAAGGATTCCAACAAGCTTTTGCCAACAGTTGATCAATTGTGGGGAATCTTTCAAAGATTGTATTAGAATCCTGTGAAAGAAAAATAAATTTTGGTCAGTAAACGCATTATGCAACTCAGAAAGACTGAACTGACATTACAGGTTGAGGGAGCTTGAATGCTTCTTGTTTAATATACCATTTTTAAAAGTAAGCAAAAAAGGATGAGAGAAGATCTTTAGTTAAGTAATTCAAATAAAGTTTAAAAAGCAACCAACCACCTTACTCCATCCTTAAACGAGGTCACTAAACTAAGATGTACGACATAGATAAAATCAATTGTGTTGCAAAATTAATTCTACTCATATTTAATAGCCAATAAAGGCTTCTTTATTTAAAAATAACAAAGACTGCTTAAGAATTGAAAACACATTATTGGTGATTAATAACTATATAATCCCATATCTTTATCCTGGTTTTTCATTCTAACATAAGAGAGGTTACGAATTCAGTTCCAGTAAGACTATTTCAAAGAAGAAGGTTTAAAGGGACGAGAATCTGGAACTTGTAAAAAGAAATAAAAGCAGCCAAAGCATAAATGCATATATCTCTGTTTATTACTATTTTGATAACTGTATGGCAAATGACATCATACTTAGGCTGTAACAATCTAAACCCTGAAACAGAAAAAGGATCAACCAAATAGATTTAAAAACACACATGCATGCTATTGTACGACTGGACCTTTTTCCACTTGTTACCTTTCATAAAAGCTCAGAAATAAAAGCAAACTAGGATACGGTGCAAGCAAGCTGACACGACGGGCACTTTCCGCTCCTGTGGCAGCACGTCCCACACGTGTCCCAGCGTCAAGGCTGGTCCCAGACATTTCGGGACCACAGAAAGATCAAGTTCCATATGTCTCATTAAAAAAATTTTTAAAAATTAGCGTTGGTTGTTCACACAGACTGTATCTTTCCTTATAGTTTCTAAAGACGTATGAACTTATACTATCAATACAAATTATTCTTCAAATTTCCTACTTACTCTTTGATTCCAGGAAGAAAAGCTTAATACAAGAACACTTTGTTAAGTGACAATTTTGCTTTTAATTTTGAAATCAAATACAAAATACTAGCTAATATATAAACATGTGCTAAATCATAAAAATATCTATCATAATAAAACGACATCAAAATGAAAATACAGTAAATTTTGAAAACAATAAATTATATAATAGTAAAGATACTCAAAATCTTAATATTTATAAAAAGTATTACATTTATAAGAAGAGATCATAATATTTATCATCTCTTAGGACAGCCCACTTGAGAAGAGGGTTGAGGAAAGGTTAAGCAGTAGCAAATTCTCCAAGATTCAAGGGACACGAAGGCCTTTAAAAGAATCCCATTTACTACTTGACAACAAGCATGAAATCTTGATTATTTAAAAACAACTTGCTTGGTCAGGAAGACTCATGTAACAATACAGCTACTCAAGAAGAAATTATAATAATATAATAAATCGGAGACCAGGAAACCAGCTCTTGAGTAATCCGTCTTCCTAATCCATTGGCACTTCACTCAATGCCACCAGTCCTGACTCCGGGTGGCATTCTGTCTTGGTGAAATCTGGCAGAGTCTCTGAAGTCAGAAAATAATTTCATTATTTTGGTCCACTACTTACCATCTCTTTTAAGGCTTCATACATCTTCCTCAGGAACTCCTGGAACCGAGCCAGGTGAACACAGGTGTCTTGCTGGGTTTCCAAAGTGGAAGCCTGATCCCACACAGAAAGCTTCTGCATCCAAAACTGATAATCACAAGAAAGATCTACTGAATCTTGAGCCATCTTGGAAAAAGGGAAAAGGTGATGTCCCTTCGCAGCAGCCTGTCCAGCACTGAAGGGAATGCTGGGCACACATTAAATCTGTAAGAAAGGGAACAAATGGAAGCATTTCTAAAAGGCTCTTTTATCAGAGCCTTCACGACTCACTGATGGGTGAAGGGGGGATTACGAAGAACTAAAACAGCACGGCTTCTATGCTGGAGTCATCTTTGAACTGTTATCAAATGTGTCACCCAGCTGGAGATCCACTTTTTACCATCTGAACTTTTAATCATGATACTATCATTAGGCTAGAAGTCATTATACCTCCACAGGCACAACATGCTAATTATGCACAAAAAGCACAGCTGATAATACTTTTTATCTTCTTTTTAAGATTGAGCTATTTTTAAATGTTCTGAATATGAAGTTGATTTGAGTATTTTAATGTAATAGGAAATCAAAAACATCCATGAGTGTTTAATAATACTCTGTGCCTAAGAAATCTTTTTGAAGTTCTTATGTTTTATATGAATTTCTGGCTTCTCATTTAGGTGTAAAAAATCTCTATGCATTACTGTCTAACGAATTTTTTTCCCCAGTTTCTCTTCATTTCTTAGAAAAAAGTAAAATAATTGATTACACATGCAACAATTTAAGCAATCTTTGCAGATTGCTTTATATGCTTGATCTCACTTCATTCACACGAAGAAGCCATATTTTAGTAAAGTAATAATAAATTCCACTTACTGAGGAGGTATACCAGTCCTAAGCCACAGCAGATAACATCTCATAAGCCTGACTTCCTACCCCTGAAGGCCATGCTGAAAAGAACAATGAAGTTGCACAGTGAGCCTCAGGCGGAGCTGGCTCAGCAGCTCCAGGTGCCCCTCCCATCCCACACCCCTTCATCGCCCACAGAAGCCGGAAGCAGGAATCGCAGAGGAGGGAAGGCTGCCTCTCAAAGCTGCAGGCCTTCACAGGCTCTGACACTCCCCGGGGCAGGCAGGATACTCGGCAATCTAACTTCAAAAGACTGATGGTAAATAAAGTGAGTTTAAATCCTCAACAGCCATAATTAACAGGTAAAATGCTCCCAATTAAATACCCAAAATATCAACAAAGGCGGTTCCATTACTAAACAAGAAAACAAGAAGAAATCTGAAACGACTGTACAATTTGGCTGCAGTGCAAAAAAATCTAGATTGGGAAAGTTTAAAAATACCTAAAAAATGTGCGGTTTTCATGTTCACTTGGGCAGCACACATACTAGAACGTTTACAGTTTTGAGAAGGATCATGTCAAAATGAAAAGGAAGTTTAATAATAGAGCGAATACATGCATATTGTCAAAATGGTACTTAGCCAAAAATCTAGGTAACGTCCGTGCCTCCTCATTGTCTTCCTCATCCAAGCCATCAACACCACCTGTCAAGTCTACCGCCAAAATAAATGTGTGTGATCTGGCTTGACTGCGTGCGCTTCCTCCCGCCTCGCTGCCGCCCTCCGCCTAGCCCTGGAGGGCTGCACCAGCTACTGCCAGGCTGGGCCGCCCCTCTCCAATTCACTCTCGATGCAGCAGACAGAAAAAACTTCAGCAAATGTCAGTGAGACCAGCACACTCCCCGGGGTAAAACCTCTCGTCACAGCTTCCTTGAAAAGAAATTTAAACTCCCCGTAGATACTCCCAGCTGCTTGGAGTCCTGACCCTGCAAAACATGGCTCCAGCACCCTCTCCGACAGCCCGTGCCCCTCTCCCCGGTCACCACGGTCACCACGGTCCAGCCCAGGCCTCTCATCTGTGCTCCTCTCCCCGGTCACCACGGTCCAGCCCAGGCCTCTCATCTGCGCTCCCTCTCCCCGGTCACCACGGTCCAGCCCAGGCCTCTCATCTGTGCTCCCTCTCCCCGGTCACCACGGTCCAGCCCAGGCCTCTCATCTGCGCTCCCTCTCCCCGGTCACCACGGTCCAGCCCAGGCCTCTCATCTGCGCTCCTCTCCCCGGTCACCACGGTCACCACGGTCCAGCCCAGGCCTCTCATCTGCGCTCCCTCTCCCCGGTCACCACGGTCCAGCCCAGGCCTCTCATCTGCTTCATGCACACCACAAATCCTCCTGGGCCTTTCTGCTGATTCCGGATAATCATCCTGGGCTTTATTTGTTCCCTTAGTTACCGCTTCCTCTACTGCTGTGTAAATTCCCTGTCTTCCTAGAATGCAGCATACGCCTGGCAAACACTCAAAAAATACGGAATTAAGGAATGAATAATTCACTGGTACTCCTCACAGTACAGTTCTAAGTTAAATGCCACAGCAAAATGCTTCTCCAGATGAAGTAATTTAATTTTTTTTCGTGTTATTATTTTTCTAGACAAAATCACACTCTATCTCCCAGGCTGGAGTGCAGTGGTGCGCTGTTGGCTCACTGTAACCTCCACCTCCTGGGTTCAAGTGATTCTCCTGCTTCAGCCTCCCAAATAGCTGGGATTACAGGCACATACAACCACGCCCGACTAATTTTTGTATTTTTAGTAGAGACAGGGTTTCACCATGTTGGCTAGGCTGGTCTCGACCTCCTGACCTCAAGTGATCCGCCTGCCTCAGCCTCCCAAAGTGCTGGGATTACAGGCATGAGTCACTCTGCCCAGCCAGTAATTTAATTTTTAAAAGGTAATTCCCCACCCAAAAAAATTTAAAGTATTTTTATGTTGCCTGTGTGAAATTTAATTAGTAATATCTCATTTTATAAATATAATAATAGTTTATACTTGGATACATTTATACGATGCTCTTGGCAGTATATTAAATGCTTTATTCATACTGATTTAATCATTACAGCAACACTGTCAAATGGGTACTATTATCATCTCCATTTTACAGAGGCACCAAGAGATTACATAATTGCTCAAAGTAAGATTATGTAAAAAACTGAAAGGAAATAACTGCTAGTAAACAGCAGAGCTATGATTGTGGAATATGAATCCAGGGTCTGGCTCTGAAGTTTGCGTCCTTAAAGAAATAAACTGAAGAGGCGGGGCGTGGTGGCTCACACCTGTAATCCCAGCACTTTGGGAGGCCGAGGTGGGTGGATCCCTGAGGTCAAGAGTTTTGAGACCAGCCTGGCCGACATGGTGAAACCCCGTCTCTACTGAAAATAACAAAAATTAGCTGCGCGTGGTGGCAGGAGCCTGTAATCCCAGCCACTTGGGAGGCAGAGGCAGGAGAAACACCTGAACCCAGGAGGCGGAGGTTGCAATGAGCCAAGATTGCACCATTGCACTCCAGCCTGGGAGACAGAGTGAGAAGAAAGGAAAGGAAAGGAAAGAGGAAAGGAAAAAGGAAAGGAAAAAAAAAGGAAAAAGGAAAGGAAAGGAAAGGAAGGAGGAAAGAAAGAAAGAAAAAAGAAAGAAAAAGAAAGAAAAGAAAGAAAGAAAGAGAAAGAAAGGAAAGAAAAGAAAGAGAAAGAAAGAAAAAGAAAAAGGAAGGAAGGAAGGAAGGAAGGAAGGAAGGAAGGAAGGAAGGAAGGAAGGAAGGAAGGAAAGAAAGAAAGAAAGAAAGAAAGAAAGAAAGAAAGAAAGAAAGAAAGAAAGAAAGAGAAAGAAAGAAAGAGAAACTGCAGAAACAAACTGATGGATTTCTTACATATTTCATATGTTACTACATGCAGATCAGTTTCGATATTTGGGAACCCAGTAAAACGAAGAACTTTTTGATAAAAGAGACAAACATTTTATTCAAATAAAATTGCAGGCCTGGAACAGTGGCTCATGCCTGTAATCCCAGCACTTTGGCAGGCAGTGACAGGAGCATCACTTGAGGCCAGGAGTTTGAGACTAGCCTGGGCAACAAACCAAGACCCCATCCCTATAAAAAAGAAATTTTTTTAAATTAGCCATGGATGATGGCAGGTGCCTACAGTCCTAGCTACTCTAGAGGCTGAAGCAGGAGGATCGCTTGGAGCCAGGAGTTCAAGGCCTCTGTGAGCCAGGATAACACCACTGCACTCCACACTCCAGCCTGTGTGAGGGAGCCAGACTGTCTCAACAAAAAAAGGCAAACAACCTTTGCTCAGCAATAGAAATGTATCTGATTGTTTTAAATGGAAACAGCTTTAGGAATCATGCAGTGCAGTAAATCCTCAATATGCTGCTCCACAGCCTCTGGGGCTGGGGGGTGAAAACATGGTACTGTGGTTGTGATGACCAGGGAGTGGGGTGGCAGCTGCTGCCAGCATCTGGTTAATCAGAGCACCTTGTGCCATCAGCCACATGTGGGATGATCACACCTGTTGGGCAAATCCAACCCTGCTGGGAAGCTAAGTCTTGACAGGTGGAACTCAGTCATCCAAAGGCTCTCTTAGTCTAGATCCCTAGAGGTATCTGAGTACATGTTCTTAATAAGGTAAGGTGTTTCTCTCAACAGTTTAAACCAGTATTTTTAAATCTTTCACTCCCCTCTCTTCTTCCTTACATGGTTTCTGAGGAGAAGCTGAATGTTCTGCCTCTCTACAGGTAAGGTGCATTTTTCTTCTGGCTTCGTTCAAAATAAGAAGGCTTCCTGTATTTGTGGTATGCCATCTGACATTAACTTGGAATATTCTCAGTAATTACTGCTTCATATATTTCTCTTTTAAAAAATTTTTTATTCCCATAGGTTTTTGGGGAACAGGTGGTATTTGGTTACATGGTAAGTTCTTTAGCGGTGACTTGCGAGATTCTGGGATATGAGATGCACCCATCTCCCACTGTGGAAGACAATTTGTTCACGGACCAGGGCAGGGGCAGGGAGGGCAGGGATGTGTTTTTGGGATGAGAAGCTGTTCCACCTCAGACCCTCAGGCATTAGTCACACTCTCACATGGAGCGTGCAATCTAGACCCGCACGTGCAGTGCACACGAGGATTCACGCCTGTGAGACTCGAACGCCGCCACTGACCGCTGGGCCACTGACATGGAGCGTGTAATCTAGACCCGCACGCGCAGTGCACACAAGGATTCACGCCTGTGAGACTCAAACGCCGCCACTGACACGGAGCGTGCAATCTAGATCCCGCACATGCCGTGCACACGAGGATTCACGCCTGTGAGACTCGAACGCCACTGACACGGAGCGCAATCTAGATCCGCACATGCCGTGCACACGATTCACGCCTGTGAGACTAATCATTGCCACTGACACGGAGCGTGTAATCTAGATCCTGCATATGCCGTGCACACGAGGATTCACGCCTGTGAGACTCGAACGCCGCCACTGACACGGAGCGTGTAATCTAGATCCCGCACGTGCAGTGCACACGAGGATTCACACCCCCGTAAGAATCGAACTGCCACTCGACAATGGAGCGTGCACTCCAGATCCCACGTGCCGGTGCACACGGTGATTCACGCCCGTGAGACTCGACCGCCGCCACTGACACGGAGCGTGCACGTGCAATCTAGATCCCGCACGTGCCGTGCACACGAGGATTCACGCCCCTGTGAGACTCGAACGCCGCCACTGACATGGAGCATGCAATCTAGATCCTGCACGTGCCGTGCACACAAGGATTCACGCCCCTGTGAGACTTGAACGCCGCCACTGATCTGACGGGGAGCGGAGCTCAGCCAGGCACGCTCACTGGCCTACTACTTACCTCCTGCTGTACAGCCTGGTACCCATCTGTGGCCTGGGGCTTGGGGACCCCTGCTTTAGAGGAAAGGAAGATGTGCTATTGGGAAGGTGTGCGTGAATGGCACCAAGATGCTGGCAATATTCTACTTCCTGACCTGTGTGGCAATGACTATGTATTCACATTTTAATAACTCACCAAAGTATAAATCATGTTTATATGCTTTTCAATATGTTACTTTCCACAATTAAAAAATAGTTTTCAAATCTTCCACAAGCTGGCAAGATGGCCAAATAGGAATAGCTCCGGTCTGCAGCTCCCAGTGGGATCAATGCAGAAGGCAGGTGATTTCTGCATTTCCAACTGGGGTACCCGGGTCGACTCACCGGGATTGGTTAGACAGTGGGTGCATCCCACGGAGGGCAAGCAGAAGCCAGGTGGGGTGTCGCCTCACCCAAGAAGCACAAGGGGTTGGGGAACTCCCTCCCCAGCCAAGGGAAGCCATGAGGGACTGTCCCACGAGGAATGGTGCGTTCCAGCCCAGATACTACGCTTTTCCCACAGTCTTCGCAACCTGCAGACCAGAAGATTCCCTTGGGTGCCTACACCACCAGGGTCCTGGGTTTTAAGCACAAAACTAGATGGCCTTTTGGGCAGACACCAAGCTAGCTGCAGGAGTTTCTTCATACACCAGTGCCTCCTGGAACACCAGCAAGACAGAACCGTTCACTCCCCTGGAAAGGGGGCTGAAGCCAGAGGGCCAAGTGGTCTAGCTCAGGCGATCCCACCCCCAAGGAGCCCAGCAAGCTGAGATCCACTGGCTTGAAATTCTTGCTACCAGCATGGCAGTCTGAAGTCGTCCTGGGATGCTTGAGCTTGGTGGGGGAGGGGCATCCCCCATTACTGAGGCTTGAGTAGCTGGTTCTCCCCTCACAGTGTAAACAAAGCCTCAGGGATGTGCGGACTGGGCAGAGCCCACCACAGCTCCGCAAAGCCACTGTAGCCGACT